TACTGTTCCTCACTTCTTTTCATTAGCTTTTCTCTGTATTCCTTTTAATTGGTATGCTCAATTAGTACTTTCTGATACAGTATTACAATTAAGATAATAATTATCAGGATTGTACAGAGACGGGAGCTAATCCTGCAGGCAGACTCGGACATGACCTTTTTCAGCCTGTCATCGCATGACTGATGTTTTCCCATTTGGTGTTATTACATTTAGGTTTCTTTATCCCATTGGATCAGCCTTCAAGTGTTTTTTTTTCTTTTTAGGGGTGACCAGATACTTATTCATTTAAGTGAGATTTAAAGGTAGATTTAATGGTTTCTCTTCACTTCCTGTTAACTACTTACAAGAAAAAAACAATGCACTAAGATATTTTCAAAGGTTAGGATTTGAAAATGCGTTATTAAGCTGATAGACTGCGATTTGAGTTTAGGAGAGAAATTCACCCCTTGATCAAAAACAAAACTTGTCATTCTTGCCTCTCCTTTCAGAAGTGACAGGTCCCCTTCAGTATAGAGAGGGTTGGCCAGTAAGAGTTATGAAACGAATCTGTTTTGTTAGTTGCCCCATGTCACAAATCTGAAATCAGGCCTCTCTTGTTCTGAAGTTGGCCTGGATCATTTCAGTACAAATTCTCCAAAGGGTAATAAATAAAATACCTTCCAATTAAGTACAAGTCAGTATTTGTTGAGGGCCTGGTCTGTGCTAGGTCATCTGCCAGGGACTGGTATCTTTTAACTCCAGCCAGTTCCATCCTTTGAGGGCAGCCTTATTCCAAGAGGAGCAAGGGCAGTGAGGGAAGGAAGTTTTATTCGTTTTAACTAGTTAATTCAATTGAAGTCATCTTTCATAATTTGAAATTACAGTTAAGAGCTAATCTTGATTTTTGGGAACCAGCTATTTCTTTAAAAAACGACTCTGCCCTGGGAATGAAAACCTCCAGTCAAACATATGTCGTGTCTTCTGAAGTGTATTCTTTAACAAGAGATTTCTAACTTCAGTTTTGGGTCATTCAGCAAGTGTTTAATGAGCCCACCGTGAAAGCATGGCCCAGTGCAAGAGACACAGACGTGCCCTTGTCCTTGCCCACAATATTTACAGTCTCATTTGGGAGACAAAACAAATACATATGCAGTTAAAGTATAAGCAATGCACAAGAGTGTGGCTTAGCCCTTAAAGCCTGACAGAACAGGGTTCCAGTCCCTATCTCAGAATTGTTGTGAAAATTTAAATGAGATCATGTACCTGAAGTGCTTAGTGCAGTACCTGGCACATAGTAAGTGCTCAGTAAAGGTTTACCACTATTATTATTAATATTACTAGAGGCCCAGCGCACGATTAAATTGTGCACGTGTAGGGTCCCCTAGGCCTAGCCTGCCATCAGGGCCATGTCTGCCGCCCTGCGATGCCTTGCACACTCCACTGATGCTGCCAGTGCCCGGTGGGGTGAGGGGTGGGGGGAGGGCTCAAGAGGTGCTCCATGCACCTCCTGGTGACCAGCTGTTTGGTCGTTACAGCGTTACGGCCACGGGCCTTTTATAATATAGATGATTTATTATTATTATTATTATTATTATTATTATTTGGATGGCTGTTCAGCCAGTGAGTTCCAAGGGAGGAAGGGAGCAGGCACTTAGGATTGGAGTAGTTGGGAAAGGCTTTCTGGAGGACACGAGACTTGAGCTGGATTTTGGAGGCAGAGATGAGAGGAAGGGCATTAGAAAAGTTGGGGTGAAGAAGTGTTTTAAAAGATCTGGGCATGGAGTGTTCATGATACACGTGCGACAGCATGCAGATGGGGCTTTGAGGATACTAGTTCTCGTGTGGATTATCAGTGGAGATCCTCTGTGTGGTAGGCATTTTGAAGACAGACAGTCCGGGTTTCTCGTTACAAGCAGTGTTTCCTTGGGCAAGTCAGTTACCTGGCTTTGGGTCTTAATAGGAGTTTGTTTGGGAAAAGTAGGCTTTTATTGTGAACATTTAAGACCACACACAGTAAGCGCAAACTTTGTAGCACACCGCCTGGCACATAACTACTTACTAAATGTGGCAACCGCTGTGCCATTCATTTATTCACTCAATAGATGTCATCGAATGGTTACTAAATGCCATCACTGAGTTGGAAACTGGGGATTCAGTGATGAAAAAGATGACACATTCCCAGCCTTTGTAGAGTTCACAGTCTAGTGGAGAAGATGGATAATTCAACAATTAAAGTCCTGGGATGAGGACTAGGAAAGATGGGGCAGATTGGTAGGGGGTTTCACAGCGTGGGTGGAAAAGACTATATCCTAGGCAGGGAGTCTGGCAAGATTTCCCAGAGAAAGCTGTGGGTGAGTTAGGTACTTATGTCAATTTCTGTTTGAGATATGGATTGCATGAATTTTCAAAAATTTAATCGCTGTATTGTTCAAGTTAACTCAAATTAGAATCCCCTCATGCTGATTCACACATCTCTTCCCTTTTTGTTTTTTTACCCAGAGCATAAATGTTTTTATGCAATGATAAAGCAGGTAATTCATTCGCATGTGAGAATTAGTAATGGAAGAGGCAAGTTTACTAGGAAGTTTTACATGAATAAGGAAATTTATTCATGTTTGAACTAGATTGTTACTAAACTAAGTTATTAGCAATTTAGAACTGCTTCGCCAGCTGCTTAAATAGTATTTTTTTCTTTAAATCAAACTCCTGGAAGAGGGGTATTTTATAAGTAAGCAAGGACATCATCCCTTGAATTTGTCTGTAATTACAAAGGTCCTGACACAAACCCTGGAAGGCCTTGGATTTAGTGGCTTCCCCTGGAAATAGTTAAGTCCCGTGGGTAACATAATTTGGAACAAGGATGCTGTGATCTTATATACTCAGGAGCTTCCCTCAGCAGAATTTAACAAATCACACACTTATACTTAAGGAACTAAGTGCATTTCTTGAAATGCCAAATTTCATTTGGGTTTGTCCCAGTTGTTAATCCATTTAACTATATGTAAGCTGGTATATTAAAAAACAAACAAACAAACAAACAAACAAAAAACAGGTCTAAAAGAACAAGAGAAATTTTATGTTTTGAAAAAGATTCCCAAAACAAGCAGCTGATTAAAACAGATTTTTTTTAATCTAAAAATTTCAGGAAGATTGTTTTTCCAAATTAATACCTTCATTCTTATTTTTCTATTTTTTCCCCTCAACCTCCCACAAGTCATTTCTCTCTCCATGTTCTTGAAGTATAGTACTCCCAAAGGTTTTAACTCCTTTGTTAAAGGTTTTAGAGTGTTTAAAATTTTTTCATAAAATCCTATTTGAAAATAGATGAATACTTATGTTCTTGTAACTCAGTATTATTCAGAAGGGTGAGTGGGAATGGGCAAGGATGGGAGAGCCAGCAGCATTAAGATGGTGATGACTGCTGAGCACTCCTCAGGCCGTTTCTCCCTAAATACATTTCACCTTCTGGACTGAAACCGTGTCACCTTCTGGACTGAAACCAGAGTTTGTAATTGCCCAATAGTTTGGAAGTTGTTTTCACAGGGTTTCGAACTTCGAGTTCTCTGCTGGGGACACCCAGAAATCAAAAGGGAACAAGTAGAAGGGCAGGAGTAACATGACCTCTTAGGTCGTCTGTCTAGATGAAGTACATGAAATTGGACGATTACCCTGACAGAGTTCAGGTTACCAGAATAGAAACCTATTTGTTTTTAAGTGAGCTGGGCCAACTCTGTACTTTCTGGTAAAAATTTATTGATGATACTAAAGAGGGCTCGCTCGCTCTCTTTCTCTCTCTCTCTCTCTCTCT